TGGTGTGGAGAAAGTAAATAAGGAAGTGTTATTTACTCCTTCTCATAATACAAGAAGAAGGGGCCACCAAATTAAATTAATAGGTAGCAGGTTTAAAACAAACACAAAGTATTTTTTCACGCAATGCACTGTCAACCTCTGGAACTCCTTGCCAGAGGGTGTTGTGAAGGCCAAGACTATAACGGAGTTCAAAAGAGAGCTAGATAGATTCATGGAGGATAGGTCCATCAATGGCTATTAGCCAGGATGGGCAGGAATGGTGTCCCTAGCCTCTGTTTGCCAGAAGCTGGGATTGGGTGACAGGGCATGGATCACTTGATAATAACCTGTCTGTTCATTCCCTTTGGGGCACCTGCCGTTGGCCACTGTCGGAAGACAGGATACTGGGCTTGATGGACCTTTGATCTGACCCAGTATGGCCGTTCTTATGTTCTTATCAGTGGCATAGCTAGGTGGAGCGAACAGGGGCAGCGGACGTAAAGAAAGGTGCCACCCGCTTGTACTCACCGGGTGGCGCTCCAGGTCCTCAGCGGCACTGAAGGCCCCCGCCACCGAAATGCCGCCGAGGACCGGGAGCGAGTGAAGGCCCCCGCCAAGCCGAACCCACTTGTGCTCAGAGAGGGAGCGGCCGCTCCCCCCTGGCTACGCTACTGGTTCTTATGACGTGATAGGTGTTGTGACACAAGGTGAGTAACTTCCTGGTGCAGGATAATGGACCATCATGCCATGATTTGATTTGACTTAGAAGGGCTTGCTCAAGTTCTCACTGGACTAGCATGTATAATAAGAGTAATAATCTTTTATATTATTTATAGAGTACCTGTCCTCCCCAAGTGCTTTGAAGAAGTTGGGCTACGTGCTACTTACTCTCTGCAGCATGGTGCAGAGAGAAGCATGGTGTGGCTAAAAAGGATGCATACCCACAACTAGGAGGAGACCTGAGGCTCTGATGCATTCTTTGCCCTGGGCCCTAGACACTGTAGAAGCCCTTCTACATGGTCAGAGTTCCATGGCTTGTGGAATGAGAGAGAGTGGCTAGGAGTGGGTGGAGCTAGAGGCAGCTGCTTTCCATCTCATGCTCCCCTCTGGCATGGCTGGATTTCTAACTGGGAATCTGACTGCAAGATCAGCAGGAAGGATCCCTTGAAGGAGCTACAATCCCTCCTTTGCTGCAAGGCCACTAGTAGGGAGCACATGGCAGCCTAGCTCTTGAGGGAGCTCTGGTAGAGCATTTGGTCTTTACGTTAATGGTCTTTCCTCCTGTGTGTGGTCTGGGATTCAAACCGATCTTGGAACCTCAGGGAGTTTACATGGTGGAAACACCTGCCTGTTCCACAGGGGACCTAGAGTGAACGGTTCAGAGGATTCTCCATGAGTTTATGCTTGGGGCATTTCTTAGCCTCTGCTGTCTGTGGGAAGACTCACATAGGTGTAACCTGTGACCCTGGGGTTCAAGAGTCCCTTAGCCCACCACTGCTGTATAGTCACTTCTGGAACGCAGATGAAGGTGTTCTGAACCAAGGACTACTGCACAACAGTGTTTTTAGAGATATACCTAAAAAGCACTATAGGGAAACTTTAGATGGGCAGAGTGTGAGTGAAATTTGGCTAGGCTACTGGCTAACCTCCCCTCTTGTTGCAAAAAATGCCATGGCATCTTTAAGGAGCACAGTTGGGTCAGGGGCTTGTTTTAGGTCTCATCTGAGGTGGCTGGTACATTGTTTTCCATTGTTTTTGCAAATATTTCTAGGAATTACAGTGCTAGGTTCGAAGACAATGGGCCAGATTCTCACTTGCAATGGAATTGCACTGGTGTCGATGGAATTGCACTGGATTTACACAAGTACAAATAAGGCTCAGTCTAGCTGGGTGAGATTAGAACCAGGATCTGTGACAAGCCAATGTCAAAGGATTGTTCCTGTAGATAAAATATGGTGAATTTTACTGATCCCAGGCACCCCGTGGTTTGGCTGCTAATTTGGACAAAAGTGTAGGTCCTGTCCTTGTTCATCTTTAGCTACTTATACACATAGGTCCAGAAGAGATACTGCAGGTACCAGTAGCTGTTTCAGTCTGTAAAAAGATTTGGGTATTATTCACCCAACTCCAACACTTACAACAGAGAACGAGATATTTGTTTAATGGTATTGACACAAAATTGTTCAAAAAGCATGTTTAGGGTAGAAGTGGGCGTAACAGGCTGGGGTTTTGCGAAACCAAAATCAGAATGATTCAGCTCTGAGCTCTTTGATCCAAAATGACAAAATTTAAGGGAAGTTTGGCATTCTCTTAGAACGGTTTCTTTTTTCCTCTCTCTATATGAGGCCAAGTGGGTTAGATTTAGTTTTGGAAAACCCTAACTCTACAGGTTTCAGATGAAACCTGATGAAGTGGGTTTTAGCTCATGAAAGCTTATGCCCAAATAAATTTGTTAGTCTCTAAGGTGCCACAAGGACTCCTTATTGTTCTTCCTAACTCTACAGGTAGTACAGGGTTGGATTCCATTTGTATCCAAACCTTCAGTCTTTTGGTGGGAAGAAAGGGGGAGGGGGAAGATTTCAGATAAATGGTACCAGTTTTGCTCCATGTGTAGTTTGGGGGTAACTTTGATCATAATGGGCTAAATATATCTCGCTACAGAGCCATATGAGTGTCCCCATAAGACACAGTGTCCTTGACACTATCGTGGGGTATTGGTTCCATAATGACGCAGAGGAAAGAGTGACACCCAATCAACCATGCCACTTCCTGAAGCAGCTGTGTGTATCTTGGAGAGCCCCATCTAAGTACTAGCCCCACCCAATTCTGCTTAGCTCCCCCTGAATTGTACAAGGTGGTGTGGAGGCATCACATACCCAAACATGTGAATTTTACGGCCTGTTATGAACTCATGAGCCTTGGAAAACAAATCCAGTGGCTTCAACCTTCCCAACCTTCGTCAAAGCTGACTAAGCCTTTAAAGCCCCTCCATAATGTTAATATTTATGTATTTGAACCTTTGCTCTAAATATTTAACTTATTGACTAATATGTTTATGAGGAGCCATTCTGAGGTTTCCTGTTGGAGGGGGCGCAGGGTCACAGGCATATACAACAATGCTGTTCGTTCAGCGTTAGGTAAACACACACAGTGTGGTTATGGACTGAGCTTTTGACTGTTGGTCATAACAATTACGAGCAGGCTTTGGTGAACCTTCCAGAGGTTTGTAAATATGTACACGCACTCCCAAAGTGGGGGAATGAGTGGGGAAACTTTACAAACGGAACCTGGCCATGAATGGAGGTCAGAAATAACAAACAGGAGGTCGTACCGAGTCAGAAATAAATAAGGGAAGAACAAGAACAAAATTCCCAGCACTTCATTAATCCTATAATGTCTCATAAAGCATTACCTCATGAGGAATTCCTATAAATCACTTGGATTCATTTCCAGCTGTTAATGGCGGGCTCAGCACAGGAGTCCAATTCTCCCTCCTCACTCACCGTTCTCCTCTCTCCTCCCGGCCCCCCTGATCTGGTGTAAAAATACTTCTGGCCAAAATAACCTAAGCAAAATGTGATTTAGAAAAGATGTCTGAGCAGTTTCCTAGGGAAATGCTTCTCACTCGATATTAGCGTCTAGAGGCCGCAGCTAAGTCTGGGGTCTGGTTGTGCTGGGTGCTCTAAGTACACATAGTAAGAGCCTCTACCCTAAAGAGCTTGGAAGCATTCTAAGGACTCAGGAAGCATTATTGGTATTGTGCAGATGAGAACCAGAGTCAGAGTGAGATTAAGAAACTTATCCAAAGTCACACAGGGAATCTGTAGCAGAGACAGGAGTTGAACTCAAAGCTTTTGAGTGGCCAGCTAGTATTTTAGCCATAAGACCAGCTTTCCCCACATGCTGGTTTTATTCACCATGGTGCTTTATCACAGCAGTGTGTGATGCCAGCCTGAGAGCCATGCAAAACTTGCACCACTTTACCAAGTGGACATGAACTTCCCACTATCCGGGGGACTGCATTTCAAAAGTGACTAGTGATTTTTGCGTGCCCAACTCGACACAGCTTAAGGGGTGGGGGCTGGTTTTCAGGAAAGGCTGGGTATCTACCCTCAGAAAATCAGACCCTTTTAAAGGTGTCTCAAGGTGACACCCAAAATCACCAGTTACTTTTGAAAATTTAAGCCAGCTTTGTGAAATGATTCCAGCAGACAATGCAAGAGAACCATACAGAAGTACAGACTGACTCTCAAGAGGATGGGTTTAATTAAAATCTGAAGAAAGAAAAGGAATAAATCTGTAAAGGTACATGTATCATCCCGCAATACTCATATGCCCCTCAGCCTGCCATGAGATGGAATGTCAGAGCCAGGCAAGGCCTGCTACTCTGCTGTTTATACACTGCTGTGAGATACTCATTTGGAAGGCCCCACAGATGTGCAAAGTATTACCCTGGTGCAATTAGCTGTAATGTACCTGACACAGTTGTGGCTAGATCATGGCTTTAAGACAGGGAGGTGACTTTCCCAGTCTCAGGCATTGTGCACCTGGCCTCTGCAGTCCCTTGGGGAGTGCGTGGCCCTTTTTGCACCCTTTGCAGGGTTGGCAGTGCTGTCTTCTCTGCTAGCCCAGTGCTGCTGGCCAATGTGCAGCATATGGGCAAGGGCACGAGGGTATTGACCTAGTCTCATCCCTCCCCACCCTTGTGGGGTTACTAGTGCTCTTGTTGGGGCTAGAATCCCCAGCGCTTGCATAGTAGGGGATTCTAAACTCCCAATTGACTTCCGTCAGCTCTGGATCAGGCCCCAGAACACAGGGACTGAGACTTTATCCGGCTCCTTTGCAGGTGCGGCATTCTCGGGCAGATCTCCAGGTGGCTTAAGCCTCTAGTTAGCCCTGCTGAAGATCAGTCCTGGCACATCCGAGCAAGCCAAGCCACAATTGCAGGCACGGACGATCACTTCGTTTCTCAACAGGCTTTGTGATGATTTGCACTAATTCCCCCATCTCCTTTATTCCAGGCAATGCAACAAAACCTCCAGCGGCAGCGACAGCTGCGATCTGATGTGCTGTGGCCGAGGCTACAACCCGTACATGGACAAAGTGGTGGAGCGATGCCACTGCAAATACCATTGGTGCTGCTACGTGACCTGTAAAAAATGCGAGAGGACTGTTGAAAGGTACGTGTGCAAATGAAACATCTCCCACGCGGCCAAAAAGCTTAGATGCCAATGGCACCAAAGCGCTGTTCATAGAAGAGGAAACCTTTCCTGGACTAGACATCGTTTATCTTGCAAAGACATGGACTTGGAGATGATATAAAGAGAATTCCATTACAACCGTAAAAATAACCTTGTTTTTTAAAATGTAAAAAGGGGAAGGGTTTCCCACCAATCAAATTCTTCCTGAGAAGACAAGAGGCTTAAACCAAAACTCATTTTGGATCATACCTTCTTGCAAAAACATGCCTTACGTTGCCAACAATGTCCAGCTATCAAGTGCCTTTAGTACTGTAAGAAACAAAGAGAAACTTTCCTGGGGAGGAAGAACAGCTCTGGCTGAAAATAATGCAGGCTAATGTCTACTCTTGCATCCTACCACAAAGGGCTTGGATTCTCCAGTAGCCTACAGGACAATCCCTGACAAGGGATGTACTATAACTTCAAAGCAATCATTGTATTTGTTTCCAAAGGCTAAATTTTCAGGACGGGAGAATCCACTCAGCATGATAAAGCCAGAAACATTCCTGGTTCTGCCCCTGAAACGAAAAGACATGTAAATCAATTTAACCCTTTTTTTTTTGTCCAGGGCTGAGACTAAAGTTATTGTTCTACCGAAGGACTGGAGGTCTTGACCCTACTTAGCGTAGGCTGCCAGGGTGTCAAATTCAAGTATTCACAAACATGTACTGAACCCCAGTGTCAATGTAATCCCGGTGTAGTGAGAGGAGCCCACTGGACACAGGGGCTGAGTGACCAGAGAGCAGCTATGGGACGTAACGAAATATACAGTGAAGTCAAAGTAAAATGGAAATGGAAAGTCGACTCCTGTATCCTTTTCCTCTCTCTCTTGACCACTGGATGTTACTCCCTAGTTCACTGTTGCTCCGATGCCTTGTCCCATCCAGGCCTAACGTAAATATGGCACCATCCCTCCTCCCTCAACAAAGCTATAAACTCAGAGTCAAGAAATTGCCAAGACACCAGCAGTGCGGGAGGTGTGTTTACACCTTTAGAAATTCCAGACAAGGCGAGATGTCAGCTATTCTAAGCAGACCTAGCCGGAGTATGTGAATGAAATGTATGGTCCTGCCATGACAACAGCACAGAACCACTATCTGTGGATGTACATATTTTATTTTGTATGCAGAACATCCAGAAATATTTATAAAATATATCTTGTGCTTTTCTCTATTCTACTTTATATATAAATATATCTATTATAAACAAGCTTAACAATAGTATGAAATAAATGCTGAAATTACTCAACAGTGCAAAGAAAAGAGCTTATAATTATTATTATATCTAAATCTATAACATTGTCTTCTGCTTGGACGGATGTCTAATTTTCCCTTCCAGAAGAGCAGTTAGAATACTGCTGGAAATACTCATTGCAATGTGACCAGTATGTTCCACCATTCCTTGTCTCCCCAGTCCATTACCTCCTACATACGATCAGTAAAAAAAGATTAATCACAGATTAATTGAAGCAGAAGTAACAAACATTTAGTTGAGTGAGACAGATGCATACACAATAGAAGAGAGAGAAACTATTCTACTACCAGCCTCATTACCATAATACCTGAAAGCCTTCACATAGTGCATTAAGCGACATGTCTAACATCTTTCCCACCTGGTTTGTTCTCTCTCACATCCTCTCTCCGGGGGGACAATTGTGTGCGTGTTGTGCAGTGTTTTGTTTGAGGTTTGTTGATTTTTTTTATTGTACACATTGCTCTGTGTTTATATGAGAGAAGGCAAGATGGAAGAAGGACATGTGGCACTTGGAGTGGACAGTGGTGAGTCTGGGGTGGCGCTTAGTCCCCGCGGGAGTTTGTTCCACAGTCTAGGGACAGCACAGATGAGCTTTACCCTTATTCAGTGGGGGGGGGGCGGGACAATAACAGGAAATGTGAAAATGGCAGAAGGGCTAAATGACTTTTTTGTTTCAGTTTTCACCAAAAAGATTAGTAGCGATTGGCGTCTAACATAGTGAATGCCAGTGACAATGAGATAGGATTAGAAGCTAAAATAGAGAAGGAACACGTTAAAAATTACTTAGACAAGTTAGATATCTTCAAGTCACCAGGGCCTGATGAAATACATCCTAGAATGGAGCTGACTGAGGAGGTATCTGAGCCATTATTGATTATCTTTGAAAAGTCATGGAAGATGGGAAGATTCCAGAGGACTGGAAGAGGACAAATATAGTGCCAATCTATAAAAAGGGGAATAAGCACAACCAGGGGAATTAAAAACCAGTCAGCTTAACTTCAGTATCCGGAAAGATAATGAAGCAAATAGTTAAGCAATTAATTTGCGCACACCTAGAAGATAATAAGGTGATGAGTAACAGTCAGCACGGATATGTCAAGAACAAATTGAGTCAAACCAACATAATAGCTTTCTTGGACAGGGTAACAAGCCTTGTGGATAGTGGGGAAGCATTAAATGTGGTATATCTTGACTTTAGTAAGGCTTTTAATACTGTCTCACATGACCTTCTCATAAACAAACTAGGGAAATACAACCTAGTTGGAACTACTATAAGGTGGGTGCATAACTGGTTGGAAAACTGTTCTCAGAGAATAGTCATCGGTGGTTCACAGTCATGCTGGAAGGGCATGTTGAGTGGGGTCCTGCAGAATTCAGTTCTGGGTCAAGTTCTGTTCAATATTTTCATCAGTGATTTAGATAGTAGCATAGAGAGTACACTTACAAAGTTTCTGAAGCTGGGAGGGGTTGCAAGTGCTTTGGATGATAAGATTAAAATTCAAAATGATCTGGACAAACTGAAGAAATGGTCAGAAGTAAATAGGATGAAATTCAATAAGGACAAATGCAAAGTACTCCACTTAGGAAGGAACAGTCACTTGTATACACACAAAATGGGAAATGACTGCCTAGGAAGGGGTACTGCGGAAAGGGATCTGGGCATCATAGTGGATCACAAACTAAATATGAGTCAACAGTGTAACACTGTTGCAAACAAAACAAACATCATCCTGGGATATATTAGGAAGAGCGTTATAAGCAAAACATGAGAAGAAATTCTTCTGCTCTACTCTGCCCAGTTCTTGGCTCCACATTTCTGGAAAGAGGTGGACAAATTGGAGAAAGTCCGGAGAAGAGCAACAAAAATGATTAAAGGTCTAAAAAACATGACCTCTGAGGGAAGATTGAAAAAATTGGTTTTGTTTAGTCTGGAGAAGAGAAGACTGAGAGGGGACATGAATACAGTTTTCAAGTACATAAAAGATTGTTACAAGGAGGAAGGAGAAAAATTGTTCTGCTTAATCTCTGAGGAAAGGACGAAAAGCAATGGGCTCAAATTGCAGCAAGGGCGGTTTAGGTTGGACATTAGGAAAAACTTTCTAACTGTGAGGGTGGTTAAGCACTGGAATAAATTGCCCAGGGAGGTTGTGGAATCTCTATCACTTGAGATTTTTAAGAGCAGGTTAGACAAATACCTGTCAGGGATGGTCTAGATAACACTTAGTCCTGCCATGAGTGCAGGGGCCTGAACTACATGATCTCTTGTGGTCCCTTCCAGTCCTACAATTCTATGATTCTATGGTAGGCATAGGTGCTGGAACTGAGGGTGTGGGGGGTGCTGCAGCACCCCATGACTTGAAGTGGTTTCCATTATATACAGAGTTTACAGTTTGGTTAAATGACTCTCAGGACCCCCACTATACAAATTGTTCCAGCACTGATGATAGGAAGTTCCACTGTGCCAGAGAAGCAGAGTTGTCCACAATGGTCTTCATCCTGGAGCTTTAGTCAATCTCTTAGATATCCTGGGCCCAGGCCATTGAGAGCCTTGACGATAAGGACTGAGGCTGTCAACATGGCTCTGTGTTCTTATCGGGGGCCAGGGCAGAGAGCAGAAGATGGGTGCAATGCACTTGCAGCAGCCCACACTGGGGAGGAAACGCTGCAGCGTTCTGTACCAGCATGAGTGTCCCAGGGGCAGATGGCTTCCTGTCTGCAATAAATACACAACACACACAGCCCCTAAAATAAATCTATGAATCTATAAACAGCAGCCTTTCCTGTTACAAACCAGACTCAGGAAGACACTGCAGCTGAGTGGTATGCGATTTCTAAATCCCTTAGAGGGACAACAGAATTTTACCAACTGTCAAATACTGTATTCTATGCATAACATATAAAGGTCTTTTGGGAACCCTGTGAATGCTTCGGATTCTTAAATGCCTTGAAGCCCCACGCCCAGATTGTGGTTGATGCTACCGTGCCTTTGCACCACAGTGGGAGTGCAAAGGGGCTGTAAAGGCAGCTTAGCCAGCTAGCTGAGAATTCACCCATCATGGGGGAATCCCTGGGTGGTACCCAGCCAACATGATGCCCCTTCTTTGCAGTCCCCATGCATGTAGATGGGGCCGACGCTGGGAGGGAAAGGGAGCATGTGTGGAGCACTGCTACATTTCACTGATCTCCAACAGGTGTGAGAACCCCTTAAGGACCATTGCAGTTAGCGTAACTTAGAGCAGCCTTTGGGGCAGGGGGACGTCCCAGAGGCAGGGAGCTACAAAGGTAGTTTTGAGCTACCTTTACCCTCTGCTATTCAGCTGCACTGAGCAGAGCTTAGCCTCAGCAGAGAACTGAGTCCAGTTGTGATGCAAGTGGGCAAAAAAGACTGCTGAACTGATTTTTTTTGTTTTTTTTGTTATCATCCTACAAAGCCCCATTGACAAAAGGTGTAACTCACCCTGGTGAGGAGAGCCAATGCAAATCTCTGTGAACCACAGAAGCCCTTACATCTAAATGCGACTCCTACTGCATTTAATGGCAGGACCCCCAGTGCCTCACTGGGACCAGAATTTGGCCCATTACTTGAGATTTAAATGGAAACTGGCAACTTGACTACTTTTTAAAGTTATTTTTTAAAATTCCACTTTCTCAGAGTGTCCCTGTAAACCGGGTGTCCTGACTTAAGACAAACACATTTTCTTAGATTTTAGTCTATAAGGGCTTTTCTATTCCTCTGTTGATGTTTATAAGGGTCTTTCAGAAAGGGGAAAAGTAGCTGACTAGACAGGTGAAAATGACTCGGCTCAAAATGCCACCAAATGCACAAAGAAATCACACTCCCCCCCTCCCCCCACACACACACTAAATGTCTGTCATTGCTCACTACTGTAGGTGTTACATGTACAAAATTTGCAGACAGAAATGCAATTGTCAAGTTGATGGTGTGGCCCTTTAAGAAAAAACTCACGGGGGGCTGAGAGACCTGTACAGGCTTTCTTGACTGGGATGAATTTCACCTACAGAGCATCGGAGGTCATCTCTAATGACAAAGCGAATTCGTCAGTCCCGGCTTGGGATTTCTAGGATGGTAATTCCCATCTCAGAAGAATCAATGTCATTGTACTATGGCTTGCCAAGATTTAAATAAAATCCAGTTTGCACATTTATCAATACAGGTTTTTGCATCCCCCCAAAATACTACTCAGTTAGGTTAGAGGTGCACCATTTCAAGGAATTAGTCCACATGTTACCGATCATGCCTAATTCACCATTCCATTGCATCAGTTTTATCTTGGTGTAATTCCACAGAAGTCAGTTTCAGTGGAATTATTCTGATGAAAAATGGAGTAAATGAGTGGATAGTCAAACTCTCTCTATTATAGAGAGATATAATAGAGTTTAACTATGTATATGTATAACAAAAAAGTTAAGTGCAAAGTAAAGCACTCAAAGAGATTTATTCAGCCCTCTTGTGCACATGCATTACGATACAGTCATTAATTACATGATCACATATTGTTTTTTCCACAGGACCTGCCTCATTCACTGCAGAGGATGGATGGGATTCACTGAATGGCTAGTTATTCAATATTTCTTTGTATCACGAGATGTGGGCCCCCCCCATGCCTTATTTTTGAAAACCATCCAAACCAGGCACTGAATACAGAGTAATTAATTTCTTCATGGGCTTTTCTATGTAACGAATTTACCATCACAATGCTCTTCTGAGGTAGGGAGATGTTATCACCCCTAGTTCACACCTGGGGCCAGAGGCACAGATATAAATGCCAAAACTGAGAAACGCATCCACTAACTTTGGATGCCAATTTCAAACACCTCAGGCCAGACTTTTCAGAGTACTTAGCATTTTTCTCACACACTGTATGTTCAGAGTACAGTCACCATTGACTTCACTTGCTGTTGTACGTGCTTCCAACCAGACCTCAGGGATACGTCTACACAGCAAAAAAAACCCTGCAGCAGTTAGTCTCAGAGCCCAGGTCAGCTGACTCGGGCTCACACTACGGGGCTAAAAATAGCAGTGTAGACATTTGGGATTAGGCTGGAGGCCAGGCTCTGAAACCCAGTGAGGCGGGAGGGTCTCAGAGCCCAGGGTCCAGCCCGAGCCTGAATGTCTACACTGCTATTTTAGCCTTGCAGTGAGAGCCCAAGTCAGTTGACCTG